CCCCAAAACCCCAAAACCCCAAAACCCCAAAACCCCTTCTCAATAAAATTTAATTGAAAAAATGTATGTCACCAACGCGGACTTTGACCACCAGCGAAAAATTGATGAACTAGTCAAAGAAGGATACCAAATGGGTGAAGCAGCTCAAGCACTTAATGTAAGACTTGCCAATGATCTTTAGGCGAACCTCTGGGATTTGGAGCAAACTAGGAGGTATCTACAAACCTTCTCTCAGAAATAAAAACTGGATTGGCTCTTCAGGTCCTTATAAAAGGACAAGAAGGGATTACAGAGAATACTTCGCTGATTCAGATGAGGAACGATTCTTATATGACTTGGAGCCTCTAAAAGTTATCGAAAGAATGAGAGAAGGGAATACCCCAGTGGGGCTTAAAAACATTGGAAATACCTGCTATTTTAACTGCTTCATGCAAATTTTGTATTTCCTCCCAGAATTCGGCAGAAAAATGATAGAAATTGACATAAAGGATATAAAATAAGCCAATGATTCATCAGAATAGCTCTAAGAAAGAGAAGAAGCTTGCTAAAAACTTCAAATATCATAAGAAACTTCTGCAAGAAATCCAAAATTTATTCATCGAAATGACGCTGAGCAATCGAAAATATGCGAACCCAGAGAACTTACTTGAAAATATTAGAAACGAGGAAGGCAAGATCCAGCTTGGCGATGAAGAAGATGTAGGCGAGATAGGAGCTAACTTCATGCATGCAATCCAAGAAGCCTACCAGATTTATGAACCCATCCCAAACCAAGATAGTAGTAGTGATAGCGAGAATGATGGAGACACTGATATGGAAGAGTCTGAGGAAGAACCAGATGAAGAAGAGAAAAAGGGCCCTAATACAAGACTTGGATTTAGAGAAGCCAAAATTAATGCTAAAGCAAATGAGCATAAGCCAAGAACTCTTGGGAGAGAACTTTTCAAAGACCCTATGGACCAAAGCAGAGGGTTTATACAAAACCTTTTCTTTGGTAAAAAGATCGAAATAACTGAGCAAGGTAGTAGAAGAGATGATACTATTGAGGATTCTGATTTCTTCCAGCTATTTCTTAGCCTTAACTCTGAAGGAAATCTCTATGACGCTTGGGAAAGATCGTTCTACTACAAATTCATGGGAGATGATAAGAAAGAATACAATAAGCGTTCTTATGTTCTAAGCTTACCGGGGATTTTTACCTTCCAACTAATGAGGGTGACTTATGATCTTGAACATAACTGTCTCAAAAAGATTCATACAAAGATGGATTTCGAAGAAGAGATATTCGCTGATAGATTTCTATACCAAAACTGTGACAAATTTAAATCCTTTAGAAAAGAACTTGACAATATGAGAGATGAGAAAGCAAGGATTCAGAGCAATTTGTGACAATACGGTATCAGTCCTTTGTAATTTGTATAGATTACGCAGCCATTCCAAAGAAAATATTAGATTCTCCAGATGATGAAGGAGAAGAAGAAATTCCTGACGAAATAGAATCAGTTGAGATCGTAGAGATAGACTCTAAACCTCTGTGTAATTTTGCAACTTTTAATCCCAATAGATCAAGTTGAGATCGGCATTCAGGATATAATTGAACTTACTGATAAAATTGAAGGGACTTATTCAAAACATACCGAATACCCATACATCCTACATGCTGTGATTATCCATGAAGGTGAAGCTATGTCAGGGCATTACTATTCGTACGTTAAAGACCACCTTGCTGACACTTGGTACAAGTTCAACGATCATTTTGTTACTGAAGAAAAGGATGGTAGAAAAGTTCAAACAAAGAGTATCAACAAGATTATTAAAGAAGCTACTGGAGAAGAATCTAAAAGATCTGCTTATTTCTTGGGTAATTATCTGTCATAATTTTTAGTCTATATTAATAAGAAGCATGTACTTCCAAAGAACACAAGAATGGTAAATTCTTAGTCTAATCCATTCAGAAATCAACAATGAAATATTACCAGAGATTCATTAAAGGATACAAAGATGATAAGGTTTTGAAAGAAAATGATGAGTTTGAAGCTGAATACACCAAAGAAATATCAAAGCTTGCATAAAATATCCCTCCTCTGTATTAATCATAATTTATGTTTCAACTTAGAGTGATATTTCAGGGGTTTTGGGGTTTTGGGGTTTTGGGGTTTTGGGGTTT